TATACGACGTCATAAGCCATTACCATATTCAAATTCGAAACTTGAAATAAACGGTGAACAATGTAGGTAAGGGAGGTACCTTTATATCGGAGCTGTGCGAAAATCTGGACCAGCATAGACAATTTTCTGTCACAGACTGTAGCGTTTATCACGAAGTTCAAATGCGACATCTCAAACAATTTCGGTGGGTATTGTACCTAAAATCGTCAAAAAGGGATGTACTGATATATGGGGGCTATACGAAGACCTGGACCTGCACAGATAATTTTCTGTCACAGACTGTAGTTCCCATTACGAAGTCTAAATACGTAATTTGAAACAATTCTGGTGAATAATGACGCAAAAATGTTCAAAATACCGAATATTGGGAGGTACCGTTATATGGGGGCTATACGAAGACGTGGACCTTCACAGATAATTTTCTGTCTTAGGCTGTAGTATCCATTTCGAACTTCAAATACCAAATTTGAAACAATTCCGGTTAATAATGTCGCTAAAATCATCAAAGTGCCGAATATCGGGAGGTACCGTTATATGGGGGCTATACGAAGAAGTGGTCCTGCACAGACAATTTTCTGTCATAGGCTGTAGTATCTATTTCGAACTTCAAATACCAAATTTGAAAAAATTCCGGTGAATAATGTCGCTAAAATCATCAAAATACCGAATATCGGGAGGTACCGTTATATGGGGGCTATATGAAAACTTACGAACTTAACCTGCCTACTGGAAAATAAACAGGTGTGCAAATTTTTAGCCTTCTATGATGGAGGGTATAAAAATGAAGTATGGTGTGGTTATAGCTATGTATGTCCGTCTATCCATGTTAATTTGTCATCAAGCTACAGGTCGCAATCATGGTCCGTGCCTCACGAAATTGAAAATGGGAGTGGGGTTAGGGTCAGAATAGAACCTTATTGTTTTGCTCTATGGGCCACAATTATGAACCAATAAAAAGAAATAGATCTTATTTATTCTGCTTATAAGTCAAGAATCGCTGGGTCGATTTTCATAATTCCCATTAATTCAGAATGGTCTGTTGCCAGAAAAGGAAAAAATCTAAGAAAATTGCGGAAAAATATACCAATAAAGTAGTGAATATTTTTTGCTCCATTTTTTCTATTTTTATCAATTTTTTTATCGCATTTTTTTTCAAGTTGACTTACAATTTTGAATTGTAAATTTTCCAAAACTTTTATAACTCGCAACACAACGTTTTGAGGGTATTATATACATGTCCCGATTATCATCCGATCCTCACGAAATTTTGCATTGGGTAGGGTTAGGGTTAGGGTCAGAATTAAAGTCTATTGTTCCTAAGATGTACATTTAGAGTTTCAAATGGACTAAAAAATTTTAAAAATTTTCAATTGAAAACCAATCGATACGGAATTGCGCATCAGAAGAGAGTTAAGGGCAGGGAAGAAGTCTAGCATTTTGGATAACCATTGGATAATAATTAGCTGTAAAATGGACCACAACTTTCGTGTGATATTGTTTTCAATACCTAACAACACGATGAAGTGCGTAAATATTGGCCAAATTCCCCGGGTCAAAATCCTAAGGGTAAAATCTGGGCAGGGCTCATTGACATTATTACAAAAAACGAAATCTTCAAAAAAGATTTTAATGATAGAAAATTGCATTCGAAATGTATATATTGCAAGCAAAAATTGCGTATTTATGTTTTTACTGTTAATTTAACACATTGTTATTGTAACTCAAAATCTTCCATAATACTTTGTATTTTGGAAAAGTGAAAAAAAAAGAAATTATTCTAAAGAAAATTTCATTCTGAACAAAATAACTGTATAAACTTCCTACAAGATGTGTTATTTTAATTTATTACCCGGTATAATATTCCTAAAAATTCAACGATACACAGCTCAACAACGAATTGAAATTTTTAAATTCACGACAAAAATGGTAAAATCTTGCAGTGACGGCTGAGAAAAATGGGACAAGATCTACTGATCTTCTATGAAAAGATCTACCGATCCTTTTAGAGAAAATCTACTGATTTTATATATAAAAGGTCTACTTATTTTCTATGAAAAAATCTACTGATTTTTAAGGAGAAGATCTACCGATCTTTTATTAGAAGATCTTCCGATCTTCTGTGAAGAGATACTGATCTTATTCGAGAAGATTTACCCAGAACTTCTACCGAACTTTTATGAGAAGATCTTCCGATCTTCCATGGAAAGATGTACTAATACTCTATGAAAAGATCTTCTGATCTTCTTAGGAGATCTATCGATCCTCTATTAGAAGATCTATGGATCTTCTATTTGAAGATCTACCCATCCTCGGTTAGAAGATCTATAGATCTTCTATTAGTATAATAATCTGTGAGAAAATCTATGGACTTTCCGTGAGACAATCTTGAGGTTAGTTGCGTATGAGAGTATGAGCGGTGGGAACATCCAACATTGCTCTATTTTTCTAGAAAAATAAAAAATTTTCCAAAAAAGGCCTACCAAGAAAACATAAAGATATTCTGCGAGAAGGGATTTTTTTAGTAGAGAGGTAGAGATCAACTTAAAGAAGATCAATAGACTTGTTATAAGAAGTCTAGCAAATGCCCCAAACTTCGTTAGCGAAAAGTCCACTTTAAAATATTAGACTCATTCCAACAGTTCGCGTTAGGCCTTTTAGTACTCAAAATACACAATTTTAGATTCAGATTTTCAAGGTTTTCAGATTCAGATTTTCAAGGTTTTATATTATTAAAGTATTTCTTTTCTCGGAAAGAATAAATGTTTACCTTTCAAAAACCTTAATTTTGAAGTTTACGGAGAGGGTATTGGTAATAATGTACCCATCCCCAATTTTTCCGTCCAAAACGATTTTAATGTTGCCATAAAAACAACAGTGATCTGAATATCAAGTTTGAGAATTTCTGCTCTGTAATTTCCACCATTACCAAATTTAGTTCCATTTAGAACTTTTTGTACAAATATGGGACACATTTAAAAACCACCGCTAAATCTCAATCCCAGATACCAACAGTGACATCTATAACAAATTTCAGAATACCTAATTTAGTATCATTTAGTCCTTTTTGTACAAATTAAGTACGTTTTTCCAAACCCCTTGAAATCTCAATTCCAGGTAACAACAGTGACATCCACCAATCAATCCATTCATCCAATACCAACTTTAGTACCATTTAGTACTTTTCGTAAAATATAGGACACATTTTCAAACCCACCTCCAAATCTCAACCTCAGATACCAACATTTATCTAAGTATCAAATTTCATAATTTTTTTTTCTATCCCTTCACCCAATATCAAATATAGTACCATTGAGTACTTATCGTACAATAATAATATACATTTCCGAAACCACCTACATATGTTCGGCTACACATGAAAAGCGATCCTAATACAAACTTGAAGATTCCAAGCACTATCTGTTCACCCAATACCAAATTAGACCAAATATTTAGTACTTTTCGTGCACTTGTAGTACACATTTCCCAAACCATATCTTTTCACAAGTCTACCACCAATGCAAAATTTCAAAATTCGTTCACCCTAAATCAAACTGTTCCAAAGATAGTACCATTTTGTACAGTTGGCACACTTACTACACACTTCCAATACCACCTTTCCATGTTTCTCATACCAGATTTCATTTTTTTTTTATTTTTTCCCACAATACCAAATGGTGCCATTTTAGAAGTTTGGTACCATTTTACAACTTTTCGCAACCTTAATGTTCGAATTTCCAAAAACCCTTTGGCACGTCTATCCTACACTCCATCAGTGACTCTATTTCCAATTCTCTCAGAATTCTAGCTCATTCCGTTTGTCCAATACAAAGTATTCAATTTTCAGTACATTTTAGTGCTTTTCGTAACCCTTTGCAAAATTTCAAGATTCCAGCTTCAGCCGTTTCGTTCGTGGGCATTGATTCTCATATAGTCAGTTATTTCACTACTCTTTTATCTGCAAATCTTTCATGAGAAGATCTTTCGAACTTTTTAAGGAGTTTAGATCTTTTTTGAGATTTTCTATGAAAAACTCTTTGGGGAAATCTACAGCTCTTCTATGAGGCTTCTGCAAGAATCACTTCTATAGGAATCATACATGTGAAGACCTAAATTTTTGTGGAAAATTTTTCAGAACTGCTTATCTTCTAAGAAAATACCTGCAGATCGTTTGTGACAAAATCTACCAAAATTTTTTTCGAGTTGCATATTTCCTCATCTGAGAAAATTTTCTATGAGCAGATCTACAGAGCTTCTGTGAGAAAATCTGCTTTCGAAAAATCGTATTTGAATAGATCTAAAGACTCTTTCTGCTGACATCTTTCAGAACTGCTGATCTTCAAAGAACATATCTGCAGATCGTTTTGAGAAAATCTACCACAATATTTTTCAAATGACACATTTTCTCATCTGAAAAGATTATTTATGAGCCGATCTGCAGATCGTCTATGAGAAAATCTTCTTTCGAAAAATAGTATTTGGCTAGATCTAACGTTTGTTTCTGAGAGATTAGTTACATATTTTATATTGGAAGATGTGCAGATTTTTTATCACACAGTAGCTTTTGACCATAAATATATTTTCGCATAATTAACTATTTCCTTATAAATGGGCAAATTTTCGGAAACATTGTCTCATTATCTCCATTTGTATACGAAAAAAAGTTTTTAGTTGAAAAAGCATGGTTTTTAATTTTTACACACTCCCACTCGCGGCAATAGAACTGATCCGTTTAATTTTATTCTTAAAAAAAACAACAACATATTAGTTGCGTATTAAAAGCAAAAGAATACTGCAAGAAAAAAAAAACACCTCTTTGGTCTGTAGAAGAACAAATAATAACAATGGCCAAGAGGCAAAGACACCCTCTAAGCTTAATTGGTCGGTGGTGATCCGGAATTATTTGCATTGTTGGTCACGTAGGGGCGGAAAGAAATATGTAACCTAACCCCAATAAACTAATGAAACCTATAAAAGTCTATGGTCCGTGTGGTGTTCTAAATATTGTTGAAAATCCATTTCACCAAACAGAAGCCAAAAAAGCTAAGCCAAACGATCATCATGTTCAAAATCCTGGTAAGTAAAATAAAATAAATTTATGAAAAAAAAACACACACACACATATATATTCACTGGGTATAAATGGGGAAACAAACTCCGCATTGCAGCAGCAGGAATATGCAAAGTTTCTTATTTTCTTCCATTTTTCTTTTATCTACAGTGCATCTGTGCTCTTTTCGTTGCCGCCCAAGCTGGATATGCTCCAGCTGCCAGAAAGGGTAGCTACAATGCTGGCTATGCCGCCCAACAACAACCCCGTGTAACCTTCACCGTTGCCCATCAAAGAGGTGGTTATGGCAACAACGCCGGTTATGGCAGCAACGCCGGCTATGGCAGCCACGGTGGTTATGGCAGCAACCAAGGTTCCTCTGCCTCCTCCGCCGCCTCCCTTGCCGGTTTGGTTCAAACTCCAACCTCTGCCCTCGATGCTGAAGTCTTGCGTTTGGCCGCCAGAGCTTTGGCTTTGCCCAGTCCCGGTGCTCCTCTGCCCAGCCAAGTTAATGTACCTGTCTTCCACAGCACTGCTTACACTTTCCCCGCTGTTGCTACTGTCCAAGGTGTTCCAGAAGGTGCTCATGGCTCTTCTGCTGCTGCCGCTGCCAGTAATGTTAACAAGAACCACGCCAAAACCTACGGTCATTTGGCTGGTCAAGGCAGCAACAACGGCTACGGTTCGTCCTACGGCAACAATGCCGCCTATGGTTCATCTTATTAAACTGTGATGGCTAAACAGCGACAAGAGATTCCTTAACTTTCATTCGTTTTTGCAACGAAAGTTCAATAAAACTTTGGTGAAGAAAAGATTTTTACAAAGAAAATATTTTTGTTGTTGTTATTTTTATTCGATTGATAGGGAATGGGGGTTCATTTCAAATTTGTTCAGATATGAGTCTTAGTTAAAGAATATGGCTTCTACCTTTTTCTTCAAATCACTCGGTATTTTTGTATGGATCTTTCATAATTTCGTACATTTTAAGGGTGGTTTCGCTTTGTAAGAAATTAAATTGAAGTTTTTTTTTTTAGTACGGGGAGAAATTGATTCAAACTTAAATCAGAAATCTAAATTTCGAATCCAATAATTACCATATACCCTCTGCATTGTCGGAATTTTAAAATTGTTATCAGAAGTAGGTATTACGACAAAGTATTTTTTTGTGGGGAAAATACCCGGTTATTCGACCCAACATTCGGAGACAAAAATCGGGTTTTATTTGCGTGTACATAGGTATAACTTAAAAGCCTATGAAAATATCCATCCAAATATGTAACACATGATGGGATTATTTTAACCGGTTTGGTGGTAATGTAAGAAATTTGGTCATTTTATCCTTTTGTAAAAATTCGAAAATGGGTCCGTTATGAGTTAACAAATTTTATACACCAAAGTATAGTCTACACACTTGTCTTTAAAATGGTGCCATATGTATTGTTACGTCTTATAGTTCCCGGGATATTGGTCATAAAAACTATAATATTGAGATTTTCTCGACCAACATGTGTTTAAACTTTATAGCTTTTGGAAGCAGCTGAATCTTCAGATTTTCTTCCCATGTGTATGTTAACTACTGGCCACAGTTTTTCTAAACAAATTGTATATCGATAAAAAAAATGGCTTGCCGTAATAAAGTTTAAAAAAACCCTACCTCATCGTGCCTCATCGAAATAACTGATTTAGACCCTAGGTCTCCTTTTACCAAATCCGTTTCAGGACTTTTAGAGACGATCTAGCGATGTCCCTCATTTCGTCCGTCTGTCTGGCTGGTAGTCTCCAAGGGAGAATCCGATTTGGTCCAACCTTGATCCATGTTAATATTATTATCAAACTTAGATCGAGTTCGGAGGTGGACAATATCGGCCAACGCCTTCTGGTACCTCACCAAAAAGGTCGAAATTTTCCAAAAAAAAGATACTGCACAGAAAGAGAAAGGATAATCCGAGTTTGCTCCAAATTTGCAAATCCTTTTATCTCCATGAGTGCTAGGTCAGGTGCGAAAATGGACAATATCGGTCCATTCCATCAAGTACCTCTCCCACCAAGATTCAAAGTTTAATTATAATTCTTATAAAATGTGATGTAAGAGTCCGATTGTCTTCAAATTACACACATAACAATATTTCTATTAAACCAAGGTCTGGAGTGAAGGTGGAATATATCATACCTTCAGTTACCTCCCCACAATAGGTAAAAATGTTGAATATCTAAGAAGCAAATAAAACGCGAAATTAACATCCGATTCCATTCAGACTTGCTCCATCTCAATATTTTCATCAACACAGGATCTGTTATAAAGATGGTAGAGATCGGACCATTCCATCTAGTACCTTCCCCACAAAAGGTCAACGTTTTGAATAACCAAAACGGTTATAAAATCCGTTTCTCTTCATACTTCACACATCCCATTATTTCTACTAACACAAAATTTGCTGTGAAGATGGAATATATCAGTACTCTTCTGGTGGGTCAAATTTTTGAATATCCATGAAGCTCATAAAACGCGAAATTAACATCCGATTCCATTCAGACATGGTAAATCTCAATATTTCCATCAACACAAGATCTGTTATAAAGCTGGTAGAGATTGTACCATTTCTTCTGGTACTTCCCCCACATAGGGTTTAAGATTTTGAAAAACAAAACGCTCAAAAAAATCTCTTCAGATTTCGCACATAAAAACATTTTTGCTAACACAAGATCTTTTGTGAAGATGATATATATCTGCGAACCCCTTCTGGTACCGTACCCACAAAGTGTCACAATTGTCAATACTTTCATCTGTCATAACTTGCGAAACAAGTCAGCCATTCTTTACAACTTGCTATATCTAAATATTTCTCTCAACTAGAAAACTGAAATAAATATGGTTTAGATTATTTCCCATATAATTGGATATAAATGTTAGATTTTCTTGTAATTTTGACCATGCCAATATTTTTATCTGTATTAACTGAAGTATGAAAATGGAATACTGGTACCTCGCGTACATTTTCTAACAATTATCACATATCTCATATAAAGTGAAGGAAAGAACCAATATAGTCCACACCTAACACGTCGCCATATTTATATCATATTTAGTTAGGTCCGACACGAAATGGACAATACTTGCCCATTCCTTCGAATATTTTGAATAATCATAACAGAAGCCAAAATATATTTAGATAATCGAACACTGGCTGAGGATATACATCTGTCGGCAAAAGTGACTGATACTTTCTAAAACTTCTTCTAAAAAAATTGTATAAATCGGTAAACAATTATTTGCCATAATCAGGTTAAAAACACCTATCACTTATAAAAATGCTAGCCCAACTAGGCGTAGCCCCTTAACTCAACCTTAGCCCATTTTAAAATTGTTTTAAATTTGGTACTTGAAGTTCGCAATAAATAGTTATTCCTCTAGCAGAAAATTGAATAAACAGATGTACCTTTTTCGTATATTCCGAATATACAATAATACCTCTCGATATCCGCTATTTTATTTTTTTTTCCAGATTTTTTTAAACGCATTTATCAGAAACTCGGTATATTAAATTCTTTGTAGGTACCAATCTGGATGGCAAAAAAAAAAAATGTCCTATATTGGTCTACGTTTTGATATATATTCCTCCCAAAATATGGTATTTCAATGAGTTCGTATAAACTCCACCGGCAAAAATATGGCTGCATAGGTCCACGCCATACTTTTCGATTTAATAATTTCATAATTTTTCGATATAGTAATTTTTTATTTAGCCGTTCATACTGGATAATAATCACTCTGATAGAAAGTTGTCTATTTAGGTCGGAGGTTTTGCATAAATCAGGTATCTTTGCTTAATGGCGAAGTGTAGCAGAATTTTTACACCCGCCGAACTTAACTGTTTTTTACTTGTTCAAATTAAAATAACGTCCCATTTAATCTATTTCTCATGGGCAGCCATTGTTTATTTTTGCATATTATTACGCACTTAACGCAACGAAGTCAATGAATAAACAGTTGACGAATATTTTTGTGTGTTGCATAAAAGTCGCTTATTTTTTCAGAACAGACATAACGTTTAACATATTATTACACAATTTCCAAAATTTGTTATGTTATGTTTTTATAGAAGTTTTACAATTTGGCTTTTTCAATGAATGAATTAATTAATAAATATTTGAATAATATAAAAAGCCTTTAAAGATACAAGAAAATTATAGTTTTGTTTTGTTAAAATTTATTGCGTCAATGAATAGTTTTGTATTTGAAAGAAGATTTCTTTTATTTTAAAATTATAAGTTTGGATAACATCGGTTGCTTTAGGACTACTTATATAATTAGAAACAAGTAAAAAAGCAGTAAGTTCGGCCGGGCCGAACTTTGTATACCCTCCACCATTTAGAACGAATTTGAAAATTTTCGAAAAAGATAACATTCGCCATTACCATATTCGAATTCGAAACTTGAAATACACGGTGAATAATGTAGCTAAAATTATCAAAATATCGTACATAGGGAAGTACCGTAATATAGGAGCTGTACGAAGACCTGGACCTGCATAGACAATTTTCTTTCACAGGATGTAGCTTCCATTACGAACTTCAAGTACGACATCTCAAACAATTTCCGTGAGTATTGTACCTAAAATCGTCAAAATACCGAATATAAGGAGGTACTGATATATGGGGCTTATACGAAGACCTGGACCTACATAGGCAATTTTTGGGACCTGCATAGACTGTAGTTCCCTTTACGAACTCTAAATACGTAATTTGAAACAATTCTGGTGAATAATGACGCTAAAATCATCAAAATACCGAATCTTGGGAGGTACCGTTATATGGGGACTATACGAAGACGTGAACCTGCACAGACAATTTTCTGTCTTAGGCTGTAGTATCGATTTCAAACTTCAAACACCAAATTTGAAACAATTCCGGTGTGTGAAATTTTAAGAGAGATATATGCTTATTCGCTTTGTTTGAGCGTTTTATTTTTCAAAATCTTGAACCCCATGTGGGGAACGTCCCCATGGAAAATCGGACTCTTAAATCACTTTTTATAAGAATTATAACTATTCAAAATTTTGATGATTTGAGGGGAGCATTTGAAGTGGGAGCAAAATAGGATTATCCTTCTCTTTCTGTGCAGTAAAACATTATTTTGAAAATTTCGACCTTTTGTGGAAGAGGTACCAGAAGGAGTGGACCGATATTGCCGTCCTCCGAACATTACAATGTACAAAGTTTGGACCAAATCGGATGCTTCCTTCGAGAGTTCTAGTGCGCACCAGCCAGACAGATAGACAGATGGACGGACGGACATCGTTAGAGTCGATCTAAAAAATGTCATGAAATGGTCCAAGAAGACCTAAAGTGGTGGAGAGTATAAAAATCATAATTCACTTCGGAGTCTCAAGCTCAAATTTCAAAACGACAAAACTTCGAATTCCGACGTGTGCGAATCTGTCTTCCGGGGTTCTTAATCGACCTTTTATCTCACAAAATATGAAATATAATTCAAAATTAAAATATGGTGAGGTGCAAATCAAGCTAATATGCTACTAAAATTCTATGCCGACTTAGTCTCTCTGTCCGTCTGTGGAAATCACTCTAGCTTCCAAATGAAATGAAGTAGGTCGATAAAATATTACTCAGATGCATTTTAGGTCTATATGACTTTTGGTATTGAAAATAGGCTATATAGGTGCACGTATATTGGTATAGCCCCATATAACGGTAGCGGCAGATTTAAGTTTTTTTGGGGTTCTTTTGCACAATTTCATACCGAATTTGATTTAAATTGGGAGTATGTGTTCTCTGTATGTGGGAAACATTCATGCAGAGACGTGTACATATAGGTAAAAGTTTTGGTATAAACTCATTAACTGTACCTCCAGATATTAGGTATTTTGAGGATTCGTATCACAGTATTCACCGGAATTGTCCAAAATTTGGTATATAATGGTACTTTCTAATATTTGTATTTTGACGATATTAGCCACATTTTTGAACAGAATTATCTCAAACTTGGTATTTGCCGTTTGTAATAGCACCACCTTCTCTGGCTGATAATTGGTGCCTACAAAATTTCAGTATTCTTCCGAAGGGAAGTCAGTAAAACTTTTCTGCTCATGTTTGTAACAAAGATGGATTTATTGTGTTTTATAATAAATAGTATAGCACAAAGATTAAACATTATATAAGGGGCTAACAAAGTGCCCGCTACGTCATCAGTGAAAAGTTCACGTTAAAACTTTAGACTAGTTCCAACAGTTCGTGGTAGGCCTTTTCCTTACTCTCCGTTCTAGACACCAGCAGGGATCCAAAATTAGTACCATTTAGTACTTTTCGAACAATTATAAAATGCATTTGCAAAACCACCAGCAAACACCAACAGAGGCCTCAATATCAAATTTCAGCTCTATCCCAATACCAAATTTTAGTACTGATTAGTACTTTTCGTATAATTTTACTATACTTTAGCAAAAACCTTCCATATCTCAATCCTAGACGCAAACAGTATCGCAAAATAAAATTTCACGATTTCAGCTCTATCCCTCAATTCAATACCGAATTTAGTTAAATTTAGTACTTTTCGAACAACTATAATCTTAAACTTCGAATATCCAAAAACACGTGGGAACATCTATCTCGCACTCCATCGGTGACTCTCATTCAAAATTTCTGAACTCTTGCTTATTCCATTTGACCGATACAAAGTATTACATTTTTAATACGTATTAGTACTTCTCGTACCTTTTTGGTACAAATTTCGAACAACTCTGCCTTTTTTTTCAATATTCACCTTAACTAAGCTATTTCAAACATTATATTTGCAAAATATACATCTTAATGTTGCAAAAAAAAAAAACAAAAAATAAATAAATAAATAAATAAATAAAATAAAAATAAAAATCAACAGATATAGTTGTTGGCTATCCTACACCTACCGAATTAACATAAAGCCCATTATTGAAATTTAATGATTGAAAATAAAAATAGACAAAATATTTAAAAAAAAAATAATATGACATTGGTAGGACATATACAGGTTGAAATGAAAAATCAGCAACCAACTTCAGAATGCTGTCATTTCTAAGCCACTCATCCGACATCTGTTAAAATTATTCCTGTGACAGCTCATTATATTGTTTCCAAATGTACAAACACATTTTGCTGAGAATTTTCCAGAAAAACAATTATTCGTGATTGAATTCAAGCGTGATTTCTGTGATTTCTTTATATTTGGCTGGAAAACCACAAGTGGCTACGTTAGAACACTCCAGCATTTAAATGTGAATATATCTTTTGTGTCTCGTACCATCGCTCGTTACCGTGATACTGGTATCGTAGCCCGACGTCAAGGAAGTGGATGGAAGAAAACAGCAACACCAGCAGAAATAGTTCGAAAAGAAAGAAGCGACTTGATCGAAACCCTGTCACAGAGGTGCGTGAAAAATGGCTTATGAGCTGAACATACCGCAATATTCCATTCGGCAAATATTGAAAAATGAGCTCGGGGTAAAGCCATTACACTTTCACCGCAACAGAAAGAAAATAGACTCAAAAGAGCTAAAGAGTTGCTTCGCTTGGCTGAAAGTGGTGAATTGCCGAATTTAGTTTTCTCCGATGAGAAAACATTCGTTGTCCAGCAGTTTGTAAACAAACAAAATGATCGTGATTGCTTACCAAAGAGGTCAGCTGAAAATGTGCCCCTTCGGTTGGCCTCCAGAAGTCAAGCACAGGCTATGGTGATGGTGTGGGCCGCAATAGCAGCCGATGGTCACTTTCGTATTAATCCGTTCGTATTAATCGACCGTGGCATCAGAATAAATGCTGAATATTATCGCGAAAATATTCTTGGGCACGCAAACATTTTGGCCGCAGACCTTGGACATTCCAACAGGATTCAGCGCCATCGCACTCAGCACGCGCCACCCAAGAAAGTTTACAAGTTTACAAAATTAGGTTTCTCGCTTCATTTCCAGCGCACAATGACCACCAAAATCAGCGGCGACCTATCCGTTGGACTATTGTATCTGGAGTATTTTGGAAAGCAAGGTTGGCACTAAAAAATACCAAAGTGTCGATCACCTCAAGCAACCGTCTCTCCGGGAATGGGCCAAAATAGCAATATTCGGGCAGCGTGTGACGTTTTCATTGTCCGTTTGAAGCCAATATTTTTTCCAAAGGTAACAACTTCAAACAAATCTAAACTTATTCTAAAATTTGATGGTATTTCCGACATTTTTTGCTTTCATTCAATAAAATTTAAAAAAAATTAACAATTGTGGTGTTTGATTTTGTTACAGTTTTTTATCTCACCCTGTATTCTCTGCAGAACGGATATTCCGGAGTCTGCCCCGCCCGGCAGCATCTTTTGTTGTGCCAGTCTCTTCGAGGCGAGGGGCTAAATGTTGCAGTATTTCACCAGTAGGCGTTGGACGACCAGGAAATTTGCGACGAAATTAACATTGTGCCAAAGACACCGTCCGATTATTGGCCAAATAAATAGTCACCAATATTTTGCGTTCTGACGCACAGTGTCATTGTTTATTACGTGTATTTCACATGCGTTTATTATAAAAATATCAAAACAGAACTGACATTAGCAGCCAATGCTAAAATTTATAGAATTTTCTGATAAGAGGATTACTTTTGCGCCATCTTGTTTCCATATATGGAAAACATACGCGAAGAGTTTTCTATATGTAATACTTATGGGATTTCTTTAATGTATAGAGAGCTGAAAGAACAATTTTAACTGGGAAAGGTCTTGTAAATATAGATAGGTCTTTTATAAACAGTTAAAAGTTTATAAAAGACCTATAAAATGTCCTCTGTCAGTGGAAGACCTATAGAAAGCCTTCTATCCATAAACGACCTAACCAAAGTATTCTATTTATAAATGACCTAAAGGAGAGGTTTTTTTCAAAGAAAATCTATAGACGATCCAGATTTTATAAAATACCTTTAGAAGATCTTCCATGTATGGGAGACACATAAATGATGTAATTCACTTAAAGATCTTTTGACTATAGAAGACTTATAGAACTATTTTAAGTTTAAAAGATCTGTAAAATGTGTTCTATATGTATTAGACCTCCTAGACCTTGAAAACATATAGTATTTATACAATAAATGACCTTTAAATAGTCTAATATCCATAAAAGGCATAGAGAACGTCTTCTATCAATAGAAGACCTAAATAATTGCTTCCATCAATAGAAGAGGCATATGTTGCCGCCTCTCTAAAAATGGCTTGCCGAAGACTTCGACATATACAGTGTGAGATAAAAAAAACTGCAACAAAGTCAAACGTCATAATTTTTACATTTTTTTTTAATTTTATTAAATGAAAGGAAAAAAATGTCGGAAATAGCATCAAATTTTAGAATAAGTTTAGATTTGTTCGAATTGCTCACCTTTGGCAAGAATTATGGCCTTCAAAGGCCAATGAAACCGTCACACGCTGCCCGAATGTTGCTCTGCGGTATTTTGGTCCATTCCCAGCGAAGCGCTTGCTTGAGGTGATCGACACTTTGGTATTTTTTAGTGACAACCTTGCTTTCCAAAATACTCCAGACACAATAGTCCAACGGATTGGTATCCGGAGATTTTGGTGGCCATTGTGCGCTGGAAATGAAGCGAGGAACCAATGTAACCATTATTGGGTGGCTCGTGCTGAGTCCTGTTGGTATGTCCAAGTTCCACGGCCAAAATGTTTGCCTGCCTCCAGAATATTTTCGCGATAATATTCGGCATTTATTCTGACCATGGGGTCGATTAATGTACCCTTGTAAACAATATAATGAGCTGTCACTGGAATAATTTTAGCAACTGTCGGACAGGTGGCTCAGAAATGACAGCAGTCTGATGTTAGTTGCAGTTTTTTATAGACGGCCTAGTATCCGCAGAATACCTATAGATCGACCTATATGTATAGAATGGACTTAGAAGGCTTTTTTCCATCGAGAAGGTTACCACGTCTTCTATCAATTTCATTTTTTCTTCACTATAAAATTAATTTCCCAACTGATCATACCACCTTCGTATTGCACTAAATACTAATTGTAATGGAATTAACTTGTTACCGAGCAGAATTAAACAAACGAAAATAGAAAGTGATTTATATTATGAAAAATAATTATAACGCTTCTTGACTTTTCTATACTTAACAGCTTTATATTTTTGTTGTAGAGGTTGTTGTTGTTGCTGTTTTTTCGTGAATGGAATGCCTTTGTGTTACGAACGAGGGTTGTTTTTTTTTTTCTCTCATTCCAGAATCTTGTGAAGCTTTTGTTTTTGGCGACCGCCGCCGCTACGGATTCACATAACGGGGGAAATGGGCGGGGACTTGAATTTTGTTCCAGCTGTGAAGCCGGCTAATTGACATGTTTGTGCAATGCAATTGAAACTCGGTACAAAAATGATTTGCAAAAAAAAGTATGCAGCACAAAATGGTGTCACGTAACATAAACAGCGAATAGGACGGGGGGAATCATTTGAAAATTCATATAAAAAGATGTGTTGAATCGAAGGAAAACATATAGTTTGATTCCGTTCACAACTAATCGCACCAAAATGAACAAAGCCATCATTGTAAGTATTTGGGAATAGAAGAGGAAGAAGAAGCGAGAAAAAAATTCAAACACGGATTAAAAAGCCGAAAGGATATGGAAAATAATGTGATTTTTCTTTGTTGACATTGCAGATTGCCGTCCTTGCCTTTGCTGCCATTGCTGCTGCCAGCCCTAAACCCGGCTATGGATACAATGCTCCTTCCTACTCCGTCCCTGTGAGCTACTCCGTTCCTAGCTATACCTACTCTTCTCCAGCTGGTGCTTCGGCTGCTGCATCTGCCTCTGCTTCCGTTTCGGCTCCTCGTGCTCATTTGTACAATGTTGCCTCCTACAGTTTGGGACCCTCCTATGGTTTGGCCAACTATGATGCTGGTTATGGTAACGCTCATCATAGCGGTTATGGCAACGGCTACGGTTACGGTTACTAAACAGTGATCTGGTGCTAAAACACAAAACACGGCTTTGACCTCGAATAAAGAAACCGAATGAGGAATGATCACTGAAATTTTCTATTTTTTTCAATTTACTATCGCGTTGGATTTCATTATGTTGCTGGAATGTTGAATGCGACAATTAGGCATGGGATTATTTGATGGAAGGGATGGAAGTTAGTGACCGTTGGCAAAATAGAACGAAAAACTATTGTTTTGTTATTGGGGAAGTCTCTAGTAATTGGAAGTCTCTGACAGACTGCAGTACAAAGAGGTTTTTATACCTTCTACCTGAAGGGTATATAAAGTTTTCCATTTGTAACTCATCGAAATAATAATTTTAGTCCTAACAAAGTACAGGGTGATATAAAAAACTGCAACAAAGTCAAACGCCATAATGTTTACACTTTTTTTAAAATTTTATTGAATCAAGAAAAAATGTCGGAAATAGCATCAAATTTTAGAATTACGATGCCCGAATGTTGATCTGTGGTATTTTGGCCCATTCCCGGCGAAGCGCTTGCTTGAGGTAATCGACACCTTGGTATTTTTTAGTGCCTACCTTCCTTTCCAAAATACTCCAGACACAATAGTCCAACGGATTGGTATACGTAGATTTTGGTGGCCATTGTGCGCTGGAAATGAAGCGAGGAACCTTATTTTGTAAGCATTCTTGGATGGCGCTTGCTGAGTGCGACGGTGCTGAGTCCAGTTGGAATGTCCAAGGTGTGCGGTCAAAATGTTTACTTGCCCAAGGCTTTAATACACCCTCCAGAATATTTTAGCGATAATATTCGGCATTTATTCTAATGCCACGGTCGATTAATATGAGCCGTGAGCAACCATCGGCTATTAAGGGGGCCCACACCATCACCATGGCCGCCGCTTGAGTTCTGGTGGCCAACCGAAGGTGCACATTTTCAGCTGACCTCTTTGGCAAGCTAACACGATAATTTAGTTTGTTTACAAACTGCCGGACAACGAATGTTTTGTCATCGGAGAAAACCAAATTCGGCAATCAACCGCTTTCGGCCAAGCGAAGCAACTCTTTAGCTCTTGTGAGTCTATTTTCTTTCTGTTGCGGTGTAAGTTCTTGCACTTTTTGGATTTTCAATGGCTTCACCCCGAGCTCATTTTTCAATATTTGCCGAATGGAATATTGCGATATGTTCATCTCTCGAGCTATTTTTCGGCCACTGCGACTCGGGTTTCGGTCAAGTCGCTTCTTTACTTTTCGAGCCATTTCTGCTGATATTCCTGTTTTCTTCCGTCCACTTCCTTGACGCTGAACTACGCTACCAGTACCATGGTACCGAGAGATGATACGAAACACAAAAGATTTATTTACATTTAAATGCTGGAGTGCTCTAACGATAGCCAATTGCGGTTTTCCAGCGGTTTTCAATCACGAATAACTTCTTTTCTGGAAAATTCTCACCAAAATGCTTTTGTACGCTTGTAAACAATATAATGAGCAGTCACTGGAATAATTTTAACAACTGTCGGTTGTTCTTTGTGAGTACTTTACCCTCTGGAAGACAATTGTCCCCGATATCGTACCCAATATCGACCTATTAAACGTTACCTTCCTATATTCGGTATTTTGATGATTGTAGCCAAATTTTTAATGGAATCTGCACGAGGAGGTCCTTCTGAGTAATTTATCCCCTGCAAGAGAATTTTCTATATAGGTCCACGATATCATATATCCCACATATAACTGTACCTCCCGATATTGGGTATTTTGATTATTGTAGGCAAATTTTTCAATGGAATTGTGTGAAAATCCACACAAGGAGTTCCTTCTGAGTACTTCACCCCCGAGTAGACAACTGTCTATTTAGCTCCACTATATCGTATAGACCCCATACAATGGTACCTCACTAAATTCGGTAGTTTGATGATTGTAGCCACATTTTTCAATGGGATTGTCTGAAAATCCCCACCAGGAGTTCCTTCTGGGTACTTCATCCCCTGGAAGAGATTTGTCTATATACGTCCATCATATTTGGTACCCCATGTGACGGTGAGAGATGTCAATATAGGTACACAATATCGTATAGCCCTCATATAAGCGTACCCCCTCCCCCCATGTTCGGTATTTTGATGATTTTAGCCAATTTTTTCAATGGAATTGTCTGAAAATCCACACCATGAATTCCTTCCGAGTACTTTACCCACCGAAATAGAGTTGTCTATATAGGTCCACGATATCGTATAGCCCCCATATAAGAGTTTTGTGAAATCTTTCAAGATCCTTTAAAAAGTTCGGCCCTGCCGAACTTAGCTGCTTCTTTACTATTTGTATTTAGTCTTTTTTCTCCATAAATTGAATATTTTCTTCGAAAATCTATTTTACACAGAAGGTCTGCTATGTAAAGCAGGGTTCGGTAAATAGGGTTCGGTAGAAACATACGGTTAAGAACCGACGGTTAAGGTTAAGAACGGACCAAAAAAATCCTAGTGTTGTTGACAGTAACATTTCCTGAAACACTCCAGGATTTCAAAAAATCCTAATCGGAAAATTAAAAAAAAGAAAAAAATTGGAAGTGGAGGATCTTGTCTCCCCTTATTCAGGTGGTATTTCAATGTAAATGCCGACATTTTTTGTAATTTTCTCCATTAGAAATGTAAAATCATGACTTGCAAATATTATTTTTCGTTGTACCATTTTTAAAAAAATATAGGTCAAGTTTGCGATTCGTATTTTTGATTGCATTGACATATTTTGTAATTTTTGCACGTGTGAAATCGACTGAAAACTTACTTAGATCATCAACATTATTATTTTTCTTTAAATTATTGTCGCGTTCTTTTACTCCACTTATGGCTGTTGTATAGCTGTATTACTCAGTTGAATGTTACACACAAAGGCCAGACAGAACTTAACTTTCAAAAATGTTGATGCAAGAAATTTCAGTTGAAAATATGTCAAATTTTACAAGTAAATTTATTTTTCGTTTCTTCTTTTCGTAATATTTTTATTTATTTACGTAAATGGGTGGGAGTGCTACTTCCAGAAATTGTAAGTTTTTTTTGGGAAAAAATTTGAACATTTTAGGTATTATTTCTTGGACTATGAAATTGCAATTTCTTATTTACCGAGGCATAGTGTATTCTAATATTGTTGTTGTGCTGGTTAAGATGATAACACATCTGCAAATTTTCTTTTGAATTGGCAAAAATAAAGATATAGCTCGCACATATGAGCCTCATCCGATTTGAGATTTAGGTCCCTCAGAGCCGTAATATGAACTCTATAACAATGATATTCGGTACGTGGTATCAGATATTGCTTAGAAATACTTTGGACAAATTTGGTCGAATTCGGTTCAGATTTATTTCCCAATTTTCTTGTAACTGGTACACCGCAAAAAATTTCGGAAATAGCATCAAATTTTAGAATAAGTTTAAATTTGTTCGAATTGGTCACCTTTGGCACGAATTATGGCCTTCAAACGGTCAATGAAACCGTCACACGCTGCCCGAATGTTGCTTTGCGGTATTTTGGCCCATTCCCGGCGAAGCGCTTGCTTGAGGTGATCGACACTTTGGTATTTTTTAGTGCCAACCTTGCTGGTTAATGGTTAAAAATAGATGTTTTGGATTTAAAATTGAACATTTTACTAAAACATCTATCATCAAGCATGACGATTTTCAGATTGTTGTAGTCAGCTCGACGATATTCAGCTGAATGTCATATATCAATATCAAAAATACTGGTTTCTTTGAAATTTTCATATCTCGAAAATGGTTAATCATATTTGAGAAAAAATAAACGGCATAAGATAGAACAACTTAGCACAACTGTTAATTTTTCGAAAATTACAGTTCTGGCATACTTTCGAAATTATCGTTCTTTTTCGAAGTCACATGCCTACAGAGGGTATATATAATTTTAAACGGCCAAAAAAGGGCCTAATTGAAATAACGGCTTAAGACCCTAGGTCCCTTTGGATCATATCCGTTTCAGAACAATTCGGGATGATTTAGGGATTTCGTCCATCCGTCTGGCTGGCTGGCTGTTGCGCACGATAACTCTCAAAGGAATTATCTGATTTGATCCCAACTTGGTACATGGTAATATTATTGTCAAACTTAGTTCGAGCTCGAAGTTGGGTAATATCGGACTACACCTTCTGGCACTTCCCCCACAACGGGTAAAATTTTTGATAACCATGAAGCTCATAAATCGCGAAATGAAGTGAAGCTTTCAAACTCCGAAAAAAACAAGACTAGTTGTGGAAATGGGATATATTCAATTACTCCTTCTGGGACCTTCTCTCTAACGGGTCAAATTTTCGAATAACCATAAAGTTCATAAATTGTGAAATGCGGAATACTCCTACTAACACAAGATTGGTCCACTCCTTACCTCCCCCATAAAAGGCTCACAATTTTCAATATTTATATTTTTCATAACTTGAGAAAAAATCAGAGATTTTTTTTCAAACTTGGAGATCATGCTTTGGCCGAACTAAACTGATTTTGTACATGTTTGCTTGGTGATCTTCTGGTTACAATAAGCCGCTGTTGCAAACATTAAACATTGTCTAACAACATGAACATTTGTCGGCAGACTCTCCGAATGTTCTTTTTTTTTCTGTCATGGAGTCTGTCTGTATTTCCTCTGTGACGCCATTACTTGGTATTATAAGTCTTCTTAATTTCATAGAAACAACTACATATTCCTTTGAGTTACTGGTCAATACTAGTAATACGGATTTGTTTCAGCACTATTCCCACGCATATAGTGAGGGGTTTCCTAAAACCAAGCCTTAACTATAACTACAAATAAATATTATTTCAACATTTTTCTTTTCTTTCACTTTAGAATATTTCGTGAAGGTTTTTCTTTACAAATTGGAAAACACTGTGTGTGCTCAACTTAGAATTCGAAGAATTCTTTCCCCGAACCGGCAAGAATCTACTAGTTTTGCATTTTTTTCGATATCATAAAAGTAAAATCTTTTACGTTCTTGCAGTTCTGGAACAGATCACTACTTAATAAAATTAGTACAGTTAAAAAAGCGTTGGAAGTGTTCTTTTGCCATTTCAGCATTATAATGGTCAA